GATTCATTTGTATCCCTAACCAACGTGTCCAAGTGTTTTTGAATTTTTTTTTTTTCGGTAATGGAAAGTGATATTGTTGATAATATCAAATAAATCTCTCTGAAGTTAAAACGTTTGTCAATGTGAGGTGCAATATTCAAACAAACAGGAGTACTTTCAGAAGTTAGACTGAAGATCTTATACGAAGGATGAGATGGAAGGCGTATGTTTTCATTAAAGACCGAGTAGTTACCAATGCAAAGGATACGTATGGATTTAAAAATCTGAATACTGCATCTCTCATTGACATAGATACATTAATACATAGATAAGACGAGCTGAGTGATAGACAGGAATGAACAGATAGATAGATAGATAGATAGATAGATAGATAGATAGATAGATAGATAGGGAAAAAAGGATAGATTGATAGATAAGAACTAGATTTAGATACAGTGGGGAAAATAAGTATTTCGTCCCCTGCTTATTTTCTGAGTTTGTCACCTTTCAAACATAGAAACAGTGTATAATTTTCAGAGTTGGTCCGCCTTGAAAGTGAGAGATAGAATACAAAAAAAAATCTGGAAAATCACATTATATTAAATTTTGAATATTTATTTCTTTTTTATTGAAAAATAAGCATTTCACCTCATAGCAAAACATAACTCAGTATTTGCTTAAGAAACCCTTGTTGGTAAGTACAGCAGCCAGGCGTGTCCTGTAGATGATTACCAAGTTTTTACAGATCCCAGAGGTGGATTTTGACACACTCCTCTTTGCCGATCTTTTCCAAATCCTTAAGGTTTGTAGGTTGTCGTTGGGCAACTCGAAGCTTCAGCTCCCCCCACAGATTACTCTAGAGGATTAAGGTCCGGAGATTGACTACGCCTCTCCATTACCTTAATGTGCTTCTTCTTGAGCCACTCCTTTGTTGCCTTAGTTGTATGCTTTCGGTCATTGTCATGCTGGAACACATATCCATAACCCATCTTCAGTGTCCTTTATGAGGAAAGGGGGTTTTCACTGACGATTTCCCTTTACTTGGCCGCATCCAGCATTCCCTCAGCGCGGTGTAGCTGTCCTGTCCCCTTAGCAGAGAAACAGCCCAAAACATTAAACATGCTTAATGGTTGGAATGCTGTTCTTGGGTTCCAAGTCAGTTTTTTTTTCTTCCAAACAAGGCGAGTCGAGTTGATGCCAAAAATCTCAATTTTAGTCACGTCTGGTCATAGCACTTTCTCCCAACCCTGCTCTTAATCATCCAGGTGCTCATTTGCAAATTTCTGACGGGCGTGTAGATGTACGTTCTTCAGTAGGGGGGGGGGGGGCTTGCGGGAACTACATGATTTCAGTCCGCTATGATATAGTGAGTTACTAATGGTCATCTTAGTGACTGTGGTTCCAGCTGCCTTTAGATCACCAACAAGTTCTTGCTGCGTAGTTCTGGGTTGTTTCTTCACCTTTCTCATCATCAGGTTTATTCCATGTTTGGAGATCTTGCGTAGAGCTTCAGACCGTGTGAGAGTGATAGTCAGTTGGTGTTTCCTCCATTTTGTTATTATCACACCAACAGTTGACTATTTCTCACCGAGCTGCTTGCCAATCGTCTGGTAGTTAATTCTAGTCTTGTGCAGGTATAGAATTTATGTGTGATTGCATCAGATGTTCTTAGACAATTCTTTCATCTTGCTCATTGTGAAGAGATTAAATTCTGATTTATTAAAGGATTCTGTGAACTAGTGTCTTTTATACAGGTAACAAGTACTTGATAAGGAGTAATAATTGAGTAATAGGACTTGTCTATATGCATCCTGGTCACATAGCTGGTCCGTGAGGCCTTAATCTTTGCTGATTGGTAGGGGATGAAATATTTATTTTTTCAATAAAAATTAATATAAACTGATTTTTTAGATCATTTTACACATTCTATCTCTCACTTTCAAGACCCTAACCCGGACCTACCCTGAAAATTTTAGGCCGTTTCTATTTTTACAAGGTAGCAAACTCAGAAAATCAGCAGGGGACGAAATACTTATTTTCCCCACTGTAGATAGATAGATAGATAGATAGGAAGGAACTGAAAGATAGATATACAGATATCTCGATAGATATCTCGATAGATAGATAGATAGATAGATAGATAGATAGATAGATAGATAGATTAGAAGGAACTGAAAGATAGATGTACAGATAGCTCGAAAGATAGATATATAGATAAATTGGAAGGATCTGAAAGATGCATATACAGATAGCTCGATAGCTCGATAGATAGATAGATAGATAGATTCGAAGGAACCGAAAGATAGATATACAGATAGCCCGATAGATAGATAGAAGACACGACAGAAAGATAAATAGCTCGATAGATAGACAGATATATATATATATAAGAACGAACTGATAAAAAAGATAGATAGGTAAGAACGAGCTGATAGATAAATATATGGATAAGAGTGAGATAAGTAGATAGATAGATAGATAGATAGATAGATAGATAGATAGATATGACAGAAAGATAGCTCGATAGATAGACAGATAATTAGAACAAACTGATAAAAAAGATAGATAAGAACGAGCTGGTAGATAAATAGATGAATAAGAGTGAGATAGATAGATAGATAGATAGATAGATAGATATAGGACCGAACTGATAGATAGATAAGAATAATCTGATAGATAGTATCGAAGTGAGAGATACATACATTAATACATAGACAAGAACGAGCTGATTGATTGAAACGAACTGATAGATAGATAGATAGATAGATAGATAGATAGATAGATAGCGCGTTTTCTATATGAAATCGAGAGGTGGTATTGAATCATTTCCTCCGTCTGTTGATATGAACGTTGGTTCCCTGTATGGAAGCCCTCGGATTGACTGGAAAATTTTCCGATAGACTCAATGAAGGAGTATCTGGTAAACCATGCCTTAAAGAAATACAAAAATTGTACTCACAAGTAAAGCTCACACTTTACGAAGGACTTTATCTATGTAAAATACGTGTGATTTTATTTTATTTTTTTTTCTCAAAATAATCTCAGTGGAAAATATCATGAGGCCATCTCTGATTTTATGTTTCTGATTGGGACCCGGAAATAAATGAGTATAGACCAAAAATCAAAGGGAACAAAATAATAGAAATAACTGATAAATATCCAAAAACAATCTTGCATCAGGTTGCACGGTGTTACCTCTGACGGAATATTAAACTCGGCATCATAGAGTGTTTCGATATATTCACTGGAAAATAGGCAACTCTTACGAGAAGGCAACTTCAGTATATGAATTTCACCCAGCACGGTTGCAGTGATAGGATCTGTAATAATTTTTGACAATTTACACTACAGTGTGCTTTTTTATTGACATGGCGCTTTCTGAAGATTGTAATGTATCTTTGAAGATCTTAAAAAAAAACTATGAAAATACAAGGATCTTTAAGTGGAAGTCTAACAATTGTGGAAAATGAAGGCATCAATAATTTTGTTGTAGTTGATGACCTTGGATTCACTGAAAAAAAGACTCAATGAACGGATTTCTGGTAACCCATGGCTTAAAGAAATGCAAAAAATTGTATTCATAAGTACAGCTCACACATTAAGAATTTATCTATGTAAAATGTGTATGGTTTCATTTTTTTTTTAAATGATCAATGTAAAATCTCATGAAGCCATTTCCAAACTTTACTTTTTGGTTGGGACCCAGAAGGATATGTGTATACAACAAAAATCAAAGGAACTACTACTACTACTACTACTACTACTACTACTATGAAGAAGGAGAAGAAGAAGAAGAAATTGTTTTCACGAGTACAGCCCACACTTTGCGAAGGGCTTTATTTATGTAAAATATATGTGTGTTTTTTTGTTTTTAATTGGTCAGTGGAAAATGTCGTGATGCCATTTCTGATCTTAGGTCGTTGGGCATGACCCGGAAGGAAATGTGTACACACCAGAAATCAAAGGAAATAAAATGAAAATAATATTAAATATCCAACTGCGAAACCATGAATGGCTCTCATGTATTCTGATCTTGATTTATTGGAAACTTTAATATGTCCATATATAATCTTCGTGAAAAGGGCTACGGTAAAAAAAAAAATTCTCTTTAGTAGAACTGATTTGCTTGTCAGTTGTTTAACCTTAATAATTTGGGCGCGTCACCGAGAGGCTAACGCACGGGGAATTTTTATTCATGGTCGAAGGTAGTGGGGGAGATCCATATCTGAGTGTTAAGAGGGTTTATTTTTTCTTAACTTTGAAAGAAGCCCAATTGACATGAGAACGAAATCTAAATAAGTGAGAGTACCTTTATGTGGAATCTATCTGAGTGTACTCGTTAAGTTGACCTGAAGGAATTTCTAACTCGGCTCACCTGAAAGGTTCCGTTTTACTTTTATCAAAACCAGTCACCATAGAGCAGACTTTCTGGCTTTGATGCCTGTGCTTGATATATACTTATCAGACATTGCGTCATGATGGGCAGGTAGGGATTTGTAGATCTCTACTATAAGTTTACATTTTTAGTCTACTGTTTTTTCAGATTATAATTAAAATGATACAACGTTCAGCATTGGTATTTCGGAGAAAAATTCCTATCACTTGATTTTTCACTATAATATGTGAGAATCCATATAATAAGAGAAAGGGTTATGAATAGAAGACAAAAGATAAAAACAAACAAAGGGAAACAAGTGTTAGCACATGAATTAACCTCCCACGAGGTTTTATGGTAAAACAAAAAAAAATATACGATTTTACACACGTTTATAAAAGAATCTCACTGGTTGCCAAATGGTAATGTTCGTTTCCACAAATATCCACCCAGACCTCTTTCTATCAACAAAAAGGATTTCTTTAAATCATTGAATTGTTTTGAATTAAATAAGAAGCAAACTTAATTATTTTCCGACTTTTGATGCTATGTATCAAGGCCATCATTCCTATGTTCTTTGAGAAACAAACGAACGCAAATTATCGCCAAACGCGAAGAATTCCATTATTTTCAAAGAAAGAAGCATCGTTTTTTTGCGGATTAGCATTTCACTTGAAAGCAATTCTGAAAGCGAATGTTAATACATCATGGCACCGTTTCCATTCTTTGTCTTTTCTTTTCTTGAAATTGATTAGAATTTCGCGTTGTCCAGGATGTGTGTCGTGCATTGTAATGCTAAAAGGGAATTTCATTTTTTCCAGATTACTATATAAAAATTCTGTAAATATAACAGGTCTGAATATGTAAACAGAGTTTTTTTTTCTAGTTTGTCAAATGATTTAAAGTTATATTTTATTATTTAAAAAATAATGGAACTCTAAATAGAAAACAATTGTATATTAAAAAAAAAACGAAACAAAAGCATTTTGTTTCCTCAAAATTCAGAGAAGGATTTGCTGATGTCCTTTTGTTATTGAAGTTTTTGTTTTAAAAAAAAACATGAATTTCATCGCTATTTTCTAATGCATTATCTAAATTCTTAAGAGTAACTATCAGGATTCTGAATAATTTTAGAATATTAATATATGAGGTCTGCTCAAAAGATATTGGGAGTATTGCCATGGTGCAGGAGCTAAACGATTCAGAATGAAGCCGCTTGGTATAGATTGACCTTCAACTGAGTCGCGAATGCACACAAAATTATAACGTTTTAGGTCGCTTCCGTTGTTTATGGAAGTGCTTGGAAGCAAAGTGTGTAGAGTGTGGTCGTCTCATTACACTACAGAGTTCCTATCAGAGTTTTTAGTCAAGCACAACATTGCCTATATCCAACAACAATCATATTCAACAGGTCTAGCCGCTTTCGACTTTTTCCAATTCAAAAATCAAATCCCACTTGAAAGAAAAATGATTTCAAGACGACGAGGCAATCCAAGAGAATGCTACGAGACAGATTATCGCTATCCACAAAAAAAGTAGTTCGAGGAATGCTTCTGACAATGGAAACAATGCTGTATAAAGTGTATATCTTTAGGAAAGGACTACTTCGAAGGAAATTAAATGGCGAATTGATAAGTGTTGCCGTTTTCTTTTTTTTTTTATAGCACCAGTCTCGTTACTTATTTCATCAGTTCTCATATACTGTTATAAACAGACCTTGTATTCTTCTTTCTTCTTGTGTTGTTTGCAATTCTGTTTTGAACCCTTTCATTATTTATTGCACAACTTCTGAACTGATGTATGACTTTCTGGGCTAAATTATTCATTATACTACATACTATTCGAATTAGTAACTTTAAGCCTGATGTTTTTTCATCTAAAATGAATTATTGTTATTTCACACACGTTTCTGTCAATTCTCTTAAATATTCTTTATTCTGTATTACAGAGATGAAATCTTTTCTTTGTTACACAGGACTGAGACGATTGTCTTTATATCTATCATCTGGATTTCTGATGTGAAGTATTTTCATTATTCCAGATTTGTTTCAGAAAAATATTTTATTCTGTATTTCTGAAATTATTTTCTTCAATTTTCCACGCACAATTAAAACAATTCAAACCTGGATTTATGAGGTGATGTATTTTCCTTATTCATTTGTTTCAGAAAAATATTTTATTCTGTATTTCTGAAATTTTTTCAATTTTCACGCACAATTAAAACGGCTGTCTTCATATCTCTTACCTGGATTTCTGAGGTTTTTCATTATTCCAGATTTGTTTCAGAAAAATATTTTATTCTGTATTTCTGAAATTATTTTCTTCAATTTTCCACGCACAATTAAAACGGCTGTCTTCATATCTCTTACCTGGATTTCTGAGGTGAAGTATTTTCATTATTCCAGATTTGTTTCAGAAAAATATTTTATTCTGTATTTCTGAAATTATTTTCTTCAATTTTCCACGCACAATTAAAACGGCTGTCTTCATATCTATTACCTGGATTTCTGAGGTGAAGTATTTTCATTATTCCAGATTTGTTTCAGAAAAATATTTTATTCTGTATTTCTGAAATTATTTTCTTCAATTTTCCACGCACAATTAAAACGGCTATCTTCATATCTATTACCTGGATTTCTGAGTTGAAGTATTTTCATTATTCCAGATTTGTTTCAGAAAAATATTTTATTCTGTATTTCTGAAATTATTTTCTTCAATTTTCCACGCACAATTAAAACGGCTGTCTTCATATCTATTACCTGGATTTCTGAGGTGAAGTATTTTCCTTATTCCAGATTTGTTTCATAAAAATATTTTATTCTGTATTTCTGAAATTATTTTCTTCAATTTTCCACGCACAATTAAAACGGCTGTCTTCATATCTCTTACCTGGATTTCTGAGGTGAAGTATTTTCCTTATTCCAGATTTGTTTCAGAAAACTCTCTTCTCTCCTTTTTTTTCCGTAATTTTAGTATTAAATGTTTTCATTGTTCAACACACTATTTAGACGAATGTTTTCATATCTATTGTTTGGATTTCTGAGAAGGATTATTTTCATTATTCCAGACATTTGAAGAAGTCTCTCGTGTTCTTTCAGTTCTGGAAAATGTCATAGCCTATATATTTTTCCCCATTTCCTTGATGTGTAACTTCTGAGATAAAATATCTTCATTTCCTCGAGTTTTATTCGGGATACTATTTTTATTTCTGTTGTTTCGTCAAAGCCTGTTCGATTTTTATCTTTTTTGACTTTTAAAGACAAAATATGAACAACATGCATTTGGTTATTCGTCGCGGTCTCTTCATTACTCGGCCTTCCATTATATATGGAACAATGACAGTATTTACGCCAAGACCCTCAGAAAAATAAGATTCAGATTTGTTTTTCAAACCAGAGATAAAGAACACAGATCACCACTGACCAACCATCCAAAAGGATTAGACCATTTTACCTTCTATGTCTATGGAAATCTTAAAGTCATCTAAGTACCAATTAGCTGGCCAGCCATGATATTACAATTCTCGGATGCAAAAACAATATAGGCAGTATAAGGTGTCCTTATGCAAAAAGCAACTGACTTGTGGAGAGAAATAAAGAGACACGTCAAGGCGCAACGAGAAACCTTAAATCCGGGTTACGAAGTTGATTTCGTCAATTCGAATCTTAAAGGAGGAAAAAGAAAAACGAAAAATAGATTAGATGCATAATAATGCAAAATAGATTAGTTACTTAAAAATAGATTAGTTGCATAATAATAATTGATTATGCCTATAATAATCAAAATAGACATAAAAATTAAAATAGATTAGATAAATGAAAATAAAAATAGATTAGATACATAATAATAAAATGAATTAGATACGTAATAATAAAAATACATTAGATACATAATAAAAATAAATTAGACACATAATAAAATTTCTTCAATACATAATAAAATAGATTAAATACACAATAATAAAATAGGTTAGACACAATGAAAGACAATATATACATAATAATAAAATACACTAAACAATTATAAAATAGCTTATACATATAATAATAAAATACATTAAACAATTATAAAATAGATTATGCGCATAATTGTTGTGGTAGGATCCACCTAAGTTGCATAGTGGAGTACCGACCATATAAATATTGTTGGTACCGGGAAGAGAGGGAGGAATCAAGAGATTCAACCAGAGACTCTGCCCGACTGCGACTCAGTCAACACATTCTCCAGGAACGGTCTTCCCAAGAATATACAAAAGACTATATGTAAATATTGTGTACACTTTCTTGTTTCAATACATTTTTTCTAAGTACATTTTGTGTTGCATTATTATTCCATGCATTAGTCAAGTTTCAACAATGGCGACGAGGTAGAAAGAACTATACGAAAAAAAAAAAAGAATTGATAATTGATAGCCTTCAACAATTGGGACAAGTCATTGAAGAACCCAGGCTGAAGGAAAAAAATATTAATTAAAAGTCCAACATGTAATGGAACGGCGAAGGATTCTGAATTTCTGGATATTTAGAATGCGTTAAAGGACGACTAAGCATAAAGGAACGTTCACTCAGAAAAATTTAAAAGGTGTCGTAAACGAATAACGGTGATTTAAAAAAAACAAAAAAACTGGCCGACTACAAAAACATGCACGGATTTAAAAGGCGCACAAATTATCGTGTCGACTTTGAAAGGTAACGAACTTTAAAAAAAAAAATGTTTTTTTGGTTGCTCAACAATATTTTATAAAGCAAGACATAAAATAAAAAAGTCGTAAGTTGTTTTGATTTTTCTGGTCAGATTATATTATATCCGTGGATACACAAATTAAAAGTATATTCTTTGTTGCATGAACACTATCAGCTAAAGATGGATGAATTTTCCAAAGTCATATCTGAATTATTCAAATCTCATCAGTTGAGTCAGCAACGTCAAAGCGAACAGTTTGCCTTATTAATAAGGGAACAACTAATAGCACAGCAAAAATATCAAGAAAAGCAAGAGGAAAGACAGCAAAAGCAAGAGGAAAGACAGCAAAAATATCAGGAAAAGCAAGAGGAAAGACAGCAAAAATATCAAGAAAAGCAAGAGGAAAGACTGGGAAAATAGGAAGAAATGCAGATCAAGGCTTTAGAAATTCAAAAGTTAACACTGGAGAAATTAAACAACAATCAGGCAAATGAAGGAAATTCTTCATATTCTAATAACATCATATTTAATTCGCTGGAAATTTTCAACTATGGGCCAGACGAAGAAAAAACGTTTGAAGCGTACTTTAAACGATATGAAGATATTTTCTACACAGATTGTGAAAACTGTTCGAATTCAAGAAAAGTCAGTCTATTACTAAGAAAGCTAGGTACAGCAGAACATAGCAAATTTGTAGATTTTATTCTACCGAGAAGAACGAATGAATTGGAATTCTCGGAAACAGTGAAATTGCTAAAGGAGTTGTTTGGAGCAAATATGTCGCTTTGGCATAAGCGATGGTTATGCATGAATGTCGCTAAATCCGACGATCAGGATTACTTAACATATGCATCTATAGTGAATAGACATTGTGACAATTTCAGATTGGCAGAGATTACGGTTGAAGAATTCAAGTGTTTAATTTTTGCTCAAGGACTCGTATCCAGTAAGAGTGCCGAAATA